ATCGTTTAACTTCTAGTTCTAAAACTTTGGCAATTTCGAGTACTTCATTTTTGTTATATTTTTCTAGTTTTTAGAGGCCCTAGATTCATGAAAATCTTGATAATCAGATATCATCATATCTTGTTGTCACTGATGAATATAAATTGAATCATGATTTGAAAATGAAGTTAGATCGAATTTTATCTCTGATTCAGATCTCGGATATGAGCCCACAATTTATTATGTTACGTATTACAATTTATTACATAGCCTGAAACTGAGTTAAGTGATAATTTATATTTAGAAATTAAATAAATGTCAATATGTATCCAATTTATGATACCTGCCAATGGGATTGATACACGCAGTCAGTTTTTTTAATACAAATATATTTAATAAACAAACAATAACAATTATTACAAATTATGGTTTAAGTACAAAAGTTTTATAAGCTTACAAACAATATTTAGTCCTCTATCTGGTCTGGAACTTCCTTGATATCGAGAGCTCATGATGAATGAATTAATTTTGACTTGATGTAGATACAATTCACTTAACAGGGTGCTAGCTAGCTCTGTGTTTTTCATTCTTCGCCAGTTCGTATGCCGAGTTACAAAACAATATTTAGTTCTCTATCTGGTCTGGAACTTCCTTGATATCTTGTCGAGGGTTCACAATGAGAGAATTAATTTTGAGTAGATGTAGATACAATTCACTTAACTGGGTGCTAGATAGGTCTGTGTCTTTCCGTCTTTGCCGCTTCTCGTATGCCAAGTTATTCACCACTGAAGTTATATAATGTTTGATGTGAATCTACTGAAGTTAAATGGTTTGTAATATTCAATATCTATAAATGCTCCTGGTCAAATATCTGAAGTTCCCCATTAATAAGCATTATAACAATCACAGTTATAGCTTCTGAGATTTATAGCAAACCAATAATATATATACTGTCTTTTTGGCACATCGCGTTGGTTATATTTATAGGCATGAGGAGAGTTTGTCGAAATTGCAGCTTATGCAACAATATGAACGATAAACCATTGTTTACATACACACACATATTGTTGATTCTTACAGTCGAGAATCTTCTACAATTTTAGTGAATAGGTGGGAATTTTGCAATACAGATTTAACAGTATAAGTTATGTACATTTCTAAATATAAATTTAAATTAAATATACATCAATATTAAAATAGATGTATATGATAGTAAATCCGTCACACACCCTATATCTTATTTTACACTTACCATGAAAAACATTCTACAGAGAATTGAATAAGTTATTTTAAAATAATTTTGAATATGTGAGTTTTGTGACTATCACAGTTGATATAATGCCTTGGTGGTATAAAATGTATCAGAACTACATTTTGGCATTTCATAGGTAGTTTGATGCCACCACAAATCGATTGCGTTTGGAAAGAGTATGTAACAACCTTTTCCAATGCAAAATATTCATGTAATCAGATTTTCCAAGATGGGATATCCCTTGCTTAATGGCATGGAAACAAAGTAATATGGATCCATTTTAGGTACCAACCAAAGAGATTTGCAACAAGTCATACCTCAGCCATGGTAAGCAAAGTGCAGTGTCTTGTAACAGGTAAGAATCCATAGACACTAAAGCCAGTGGCAACAGTACACAACATAATCAAGAATGATCTCTGTCTGGAAAAGCAACACAAATCATATGTACACAGGTTGCTTCCATGGGATATGTTTAACACTCACATACTTCAAGCATCTAGATGATTAAATGTATTTTATTGCTATTCCATATAAAGATATACTTGTCAAGTCACTGGATGCAGCACCTATGAATTTCTGTGTAATCAACTGTTGAAAGGGGCATTGGGCAACCAATGTCCTCATACACAATAAGGCCTATGGAAATTAGCAGAGAGGGATGGCGTGTTTTGAGTATGACATCCATACGGCAGAGTAGATTTATCGTGTCTAGATGAAGCTAAAGCTACGCCTAAGATAAATTTTGAGAATATTTCTAAATTTAGGCTAAATGAAATAATTGAAATCTGACACGTCTGGAAGATAAACAAACATAGACTGTTTTTAAAGCAACTTCAAATTTGAATCAGAAATATTTGCTGAAAGACTTAACATAGCATCAATCTTGGGTCGACAAAATACTTGAGTATGGAAATCTACTAGCTTATTTGTAGAGATTTAACCTTGTGTGCAACGGTACTTACACTACAGGAGTACTATGAAGATGTATGATTGTCAGAAACAGCATGACCACTGTTACAATGTGGTGAGGCTCTGAACTCATTTTGATATAACATACTCAACCTCTGTATAAATACAGGATATTCTATTTAACTGACTTGCCATAGGAATATAGCTGTAATCAAATGATGTTAAATGTTATTTGAGTTACTATGGGGAAGTTTGTAGACAAAGGATATTGACTTACCATAAGCAGCAGCTTGTAAAGCAAGAAAATTCTATGTTACTGGCTTGTCATGAGAAAATGATAGTCTACATTTGACTTACCATGAATAACTGTCTGTAGACACAAAGCCAAACTTGGTAGAGCTACTGGAAGCAGCTCACATAATACTGTAAAATGGTCAAACCTGGAACATCACAGCATTTATATGTAATTTTGATTTGATTCTTTTATTCATAAGTTAACTAATGACATATAGCTAATAAGACAATAAAATATGAAACCGCACAAAACTTGTTGTTTCTTAAAAAATTAAAAGCTTGTTCTTGTTTCAGTATAATATTTTTCTATCACCTAAAATAATTTTTTGAGTTATTTTAAATGTTCAACATAAACTAGTAAGATATATTGGTATTCAGATGTTCCCAAATCCTGAAGCTACAATATCTAATAAGATGAATTCTCACAAAGATAGCCAATGAAGGTCTCATTATTACTTATGTCAATTCTTAACTTATTTCGCACATTTAAAAATTTAACAAATACAAACTGCTAGTTTGTAGATATACCTCATGATTTTTTCAGCACAACACTTTAACTGAAGAATTAAATCAAAGAACAACTCGTAATACGAAAATTAAAGTTATATTCATGGATAAAATAAGTATGTTTTAAAGAACGTTATGTTTTGCTAGGTTTATCTAGCATGATCAGGTGGATACAACTGAAAAGTTGGAGAAAATTAAGTTATATTCAT